TTCTGTGTATTGTACGTCGCAGCGAAGCATCAGTAGCAGTAGTAGCAATAGTAGTAGTAGTAGTAGTAGTAGTAGTAGTAGTAGCAGTAGCAGCAGTAGCAGTAGCAGTAGCAGTAGCAGTAGTACTAGTAGCAGTCGCAGTAGTAGGAGTAGTAGTAGCAGTAGTAGTAGTAGTAGTAGTAGTAGTAGTAGTAGTAAGACTATTGCTGTAGTAGTTTTTACCTCCTACATGGCTGAGCGAGTCGCAAAGTAGGGTACAAAGAGCTGAAGGGCAAAATCACGGCAGGCGTATTCAGCATGCCCTCATGCAAGCGCTGTCATGTTGACAGGGCAACAGACATTGTAGTAGTATTATCATTAGTAGAAGTAGTCCTTGTCGTCGTCGTAGTCGTGGTAGTTCTTGTCACCCACTTGGCGCGTCTGCGATAGCCCTGTGGGGTCTCGACGACCCACGGGACTCAAAGCTGACCAGCATGCGCCTAGAAGACCACCCCAACAACCAAGTTAGAACAACCCATAGCAAGACAAGCACCTACTATTTTTGTCACCCACTTGGCACGTCGACGACAGCACTTACTATAGTTACTATAGTAATAGTAGCAGCATCAGCAGCAGCAGCAGCAGCGGCAGCAGCAGCGGCAGTAGCAACAACAGTAGTTGTAGCAGCAGCAGCATCTTGCAAATACCAGCAGCAGCTGTGGAAAACAACAGTGTCGGCAATAGCGACAGCCATAGTAACAGCAGATGGTGAAACAATATGAAACAATCGTGTCGGTAGTGATAGCACTGGCTCAAAAAAGGCTGATATGACTGATACAACTGATTGAATGATGCATCATCGCCCTCATCATAGCTGGTGTGGCGGCGAGGAGCCAAGACAAAAAACGGAAGGCTAAGCCTAAGCCGCAGGCTCACCAATTCCTCTGTGGCTGACCGCACTCGAGCTTCAAGATGCCGGCACCGGACTCGTTCCTTTCACACTGATTCTGCCGAGAGAGTCTGCAGAAATAAGAGGCCAAAAGAGGGTCCTGTTCCACCTCGGCGGCTAACCGCGTGGCCTGGCGTTGCGACAGCTTCCAACAACTTCCAAAGGACTGGCTCCAAGCACCTCTGCTTGCGAAGCAATGAGTTGCGTCTGCATTCCTTGCAAGATTTCCGGGCTTTGCGGTCACAATCATTATGCGGAGAGTCTATGACGTGTAATAGGCTGCGACCTTCCAGAGGACCAATAGCATCCTCGCAGAGAACGAGCATCGCATCCAGGCTGCCTCCCAGCGTGTAGGCAGAACTACTGAGACAGCAGCCAAACAGTGGGAGTTTTCGAAAACAGGGGACCCCTAATATAGCACCCTAAATAGTAGGACCCTTATTATAAGGACCCCAAAATAAGCTACTCAACTTTTTTGGAAACTCCCAAATTGACCAGCACCAGTCACCTATGGGAACGGCTCTTGCAGAAGAGCTCGCACTGCTCAAGCCAAGCAGTCTTGCACCTGCAGAGCAGGCATCAAGCGTTGCTAGATGACCGCCAAAAGCAAGGACTCCCAGCCTAGCTGAGAGATGCGCGATTTCAGCGCAGGGGCTTTGTAAGCCTCAGTGGTGTCAGGCCTCACCCTATAACCTCAAGACTTATCAAACCGCGTCGCAAGACGTGCAGGTTTCTGCGAAGGCCAGTTCTCCGCAAGCTGCGAGGTAACGGCGCTGCAGGTCTACGCCACACCGGTTTAATTTACACAAATTCCTCGCCAAAAAGGCTGCCAAGTCGACATCTTCGAGGAAACGTGGGTTCAGCACCTTCGGCGCATATCGATTGTACAGCATTAACAAGCTGATAACGCGGGCATGGGCCCAGAAAATTTTGCCCCCCCTCGCACCACGTGCTGTCAATACTCAACGCAGAAAGCTCACATGTAAATTTATGTGTTGATACTCCACTTCGATGGAACAAGCTCGAGGAAGGCATGGTGCTATGCTCACTGCACATGTTTGCCGCCCTTCAGGCCGCATGTTTTCTTCGAACACATACTAAGACTCCACCTCGGTCGACAAACGTGATGAACAGAGCAAATTATTCATAGCCACACGGTGGAGTCCGGAACAACCTTCGCTGAGGGTGAAACTGCTTGATGGCTTACATGGCAGCACCACTGAGGGGCGTTTGCCACCATTGTGGGCTGGGTTACGGCAGTACTCTCGGGGGAGAGCTGGCTTTGCGAAAGCAAGACTTTTGGCTTGCCCATGCAGGGGCTTGCAGGCGAGGAGTGGGGTGCCACTCCCGCCTAGGTTCCGTCACTGTCGGTTAAGCCGCTGCCGCTGCTGCCTGAGTTTTGGAGGCACATGTGATATTCTGCAGCCCCCTCATCTAGTCTAAGAGTCTGGAAGGGGTGTTGCCAAGTTGCTGCTGCTGCTGCTGTCTTCATCGCCCTCTTCTGGAGAAGCCAGTGGGCCCTTCGACAGCCACATGACTTGCGCAGGCAGAGTTCAGGTGGCACGACTACAGTACAGTCTAGCATGCATTTGCGCCTCGTAGGAAATCTGCTGCAGAGCAAGGAGTTGGTTTGTCTGCATCCCCAACCCCGACGGGTCACTCCCCCATGGCGGAAAATCTCCATTCTGCCCATGCTTCAACATGTCGATTTTGCCGGTGCCTTGGTTCGGACGGGATCTATGGACAAGCTTTGGGCATGCCTGACGAAGCAAAGCAAATTATTGAGCCAGGCGCTTCTTCTTCGGTTCTCCGCCACAAACTTCGCAAAGTTCGACGAATCTTCAGCAAGTTCGATCTTACTGTCGACGACTCCTTCAGCCTTCAGATCAACATCAAGATCAGTCCGCGACTCTGCAATTTACTGAATACATTCGAATTTGTAGGCGCCCTGGGCCTGCCCCAACGCTGTCACGGCCCAGGAGAACAAGGCTTGTCTTGCTGCCTCTTCCGCCCCTTCCTCCTCGTTCTGCGGCATCTGTGGCCAAACATCTGAGAGGGAGTCCGGATGTTGCCTCAGATAAACCGCCTTTTCCAAGCAGGGCTAGCAGATCAAATTGCTCCATGTCTTCCTGCCAGCTTTCCTTGAGGCGACGTGATGTCCTCCCCCTACCAGCAACTGCTCGCCTTGGTTGCACCTGCCTCAACATCCAAGCTGCGCAAAGTAGTCGCGGAACATCTTGGCATACCTTGAGCTGCTAAGGGGGCTGAGGATTCACGAATGTAAGCCAGCAGGGCGATCCAATCATTCCATGGTTATTGTTTGGTTGCACACATCTGTCGCAAAGAACAACCGTTGCTCAATTCGCGAATAGCACGTACGAGTAGAATGAGTAGTTTGTGTCTGAAAAGCTTCCACTGTGCTCCGTGAATGTGGTTTTTGATGCTAGGTTGCCCGGTCAATCTGGATCCCAAATGATCCACAGCGGAAGGACTTGTGTCTCTCCAAGTGTTGTGGCTGGCATTGAAGTGCTGTGTGTGTGTGTGTACGTGTTTGCCTGCAGTTTCTGCATGTTTCTGCTGTGAGGCGGTGCGACCCTGCCAGTCCTGCCAGCCATCGTGAGGATGAAATGTTGGCTGTCAGGACTCTGAGAATATCTGAGCATGCAGCGATGACTCGGGTCATTGGCTCGTTTGGGCTCTGTTCGGAGTGTACTGCTGTAAGATGCTTTTTCGCATCTGGTCGGCAGCGACTCAACCAGGACAGAAACAAGATGCACGCATCCGTAAGTTAAAGCTGTGCTTCAAAATCCTACAGCCTGAAGCCAGCCTTGGCTGGAGCATACGGAAGGGTTTGTACGCAGTGTTGAGCCGACCGTCCGGAAGAATGATCGCCACCACCACAAATGCTAGCTGCTAGCTGGTAGGCAAGACTGTCATACCGACTCATCGGGTAGGAGTATATCTGCAGTAGTCTCGTGCACTTGTGTGTATGTGCGCCTGCCACATCAAAGATCAATGCAGGATTTCTTTAGTTTGTAGCTTAACGCCATCACAGCTCAGGGTAGAGAAAAGCAGGCTAAACCTTGTAGAGGTGAAGGGCATCGTGACATGATTTCCGGGCAAAAGGGATGTGCCCATCTCGTTTCTGACTTGAGCGTCCACGGAAGCTCACAGAATGGTGGGCAAATTGACTTTCTTGCTTGGACCAGGGCGTGGAAGCTGTAGTTTCTGTGTGCGTTGCCACGGAATCTCTGAAATGGTGCTGGCACCGTTGATGCTTTTCCAGCGATCTGAGCTACCGGCTCTCGCACTGGCGCATCATCCTTGAGAATGCTCTGAAAGACTCCTGCGGTCGCGGTCGCGCGCGGTCCGTGCATGGCATGACAAACCTTTGCCTCCTCTTTACCTCCCCGTCCCCTCCCTGCGGTTCTCATACTCAGCGCAGTGACTACCAGCATGGTCTGTGATGCTCTCCTGCGTCTACGGAGATGACTTCACATCCGGAGCTCTCGTTGGTCTTAGCTGTGCCCTTGTGCGTCCACTTCACCCAGAGGGCCGCCTCGCACAGCCTTGGAGACACGTGGCTTCAGTTGCTGTCACTACTCACCCAGGCTTGACCATCCTGGCCAAGCACAACATTGAATTTAGTTCTACCCGTAGCCGCTCACCCTGATGACGTTCCCAGGGCATAGCTCTCTTCATAGGCAAGCGGCCAGGCACCGGCAGTGAGTTTGAGTGTGGGCTCCTCCACAGGCAAGGCATCGTGATCAGGCTCGCACTTGCTCTGGCAGTCCGGCAGTGGTGTTATGCGATGGAAACACAACCAAAGGCTGGGGACATGATGAACTCGAGAGGCACCGTTGAGAAGCCGTAGTTTGCGGCTAAGCCACTTGGGCGTTGGCTTCAAAATACTCCAGCAGTGACTCCGGCACGCGACTGTTCAAGAAATACATGTGTGTAGCCTAAGGTGGCATGGCCAAAATACAAATTCGGCAGATCCGCACGGAGAAAGATGTAGCAGGGGTCCACACGAATTACAAAGCCAAGTCACGTTCTCACCACGAGTGATCAGCTCTTGTGTAGTGCTCAGGTATTTCTCGGTCAGAGCGGTGCTGTAGATCTTCCGTGTTTGATCTAAGAAGCACGTTTCGCACACCTCAGCTCCGGCGATGCGCTTTACATTTGGTGTCTGTGGTGCCGTGCCTTTTTTTGCCTCCTATCTCCGCTTGCTGCCCACCAAGCCACAACGAAGAATGGATGTTGGAATTGTGCGGAGTAAATTTCCTGCGGTTCCAGTGAGTGACGCAACGATGCAGCTGGTCAGCCAAGAATGGCCAACGAGCCTGGCTCAGATCATGCCGCAGACTCAGCGGCATTAAGCGGAGCAGTGTGACCTGGAGGGCACCCAATCGAGACAGCCCTATCGCGAACAGGTTGTCTGCACATCCATGGCAGGCAATAGCTCAGCTTCGAACATCAGCTTCGTGCCTGCGCCAGCCAACTCGAATAATTTCGAGATGTTGGTGCGGGTGCACCGCATGACACAGTAAGCTCGAGCTTGGAAACTGAAATGTAAGCCGCTGGCACGCGTGAGCGAGTCTGGCTCAGGGTCTTGACGCTGCGCCACACCCGAGCTTTCACTGGCGCAGAGACCTAACCAAGCGAGCAGCAGCACAAGGGTAGGCTTTACAGCGATGCAAAGTCAGGCCACATTGGGGTACTGCTGCATGTAGCGACGAAGAAGAGCTGCTTGCTCATTCCGCTCACCTGGGATGCAAAGAGTTATCGGTGAAAGATTGCGAGAGGATGCTCGAGTCCAGGATAGATGTGCAGCCACGTCGCTGTTCAAGTTTCGCAGCTGGTTCATGGCATTGGTGATGGCGGAGATGAATGTGGAGAATATCACCATGGCTGAGATGATGACGACGACATTGAAGAGACGCTCGATCTCATTTTTGGGAACGACCTGAACAGAACACTGTCATTGCTCCAAGCCCGAGCAGGGGCTTGCTCAATGTCAAGTCGATCAGCATGAAACTTGTAGGCAAAAAAGGACAGAAAGTGCCCTAGACCTCCATTGAAGCTGGAGTGAACTGCGTCAGCGACCAGTGCAATGCCGTGAAATACCTCGGATATGACCAGAGGATACCACGGGTATCTGATTAAAGACGCACTGTCTTTCGGACGGAAGTCGCAAGAAAAACGGCATGCCGTGTCGGCGGCATGACCCGCAATGTAAGGCAGCATGCAGCAGCACATGTCCAAATGCTCAGAGGCTTGGAAGTCTGTGACACTCAGACTCAGTACCATATTTCATCGGAGGCCAAGCGGCTGGTAGGCCATGGGAGAAACGAGAATATCTGTATCTGCTTGAAGGAGCCACGTATCCGGTCTGTTGAGTTGCCTGAACTCCAGGAGAGTGCAGCACATGTGGCTTGGATAAGCTTCTCATGCATCTGTTTCCAGCTGCTACTGTGCCGAAATCAGCAAAGGCTCCCGATCCAAAACCAAGCACAGGCAACCATATGGTTCAGCAGCATGATAAAGGCTATCCTGGGCATAACAAAGTGAAAGTTTTGACGCATCGCTTGTATCCTTACTCGCAGGTGCTGCAGCCACTAGCTCCCCGACGAGCCGCAGTCGCGCAACACTGATAAAGATCACGGAGACCCTCAGGCGTTGCAAAGTTGCAAACTGCTGTCAAGCGTGACGCTTTCGGATGTTTCATGGATACAAGGCTTCTTGCAAGTAAGGCGCTCAGACTGCACGTGCTCCAGCAGCTCATTCAATCGTCCTCGCGAAGCACACAGAAGCTGAGGACAGGCACGAACAATTCTATTCTGTAAGTGTGATCCTGACAATGACCACGATTCATCTAGAATCTAGAACCAAATGCCGCGGTCCATGTGCTCTCAGCAGACGCAGCAGGCGAAGCAAGCGCAGGAAACGAACCGCCTGAAGCAGACAAAGAAGCTCGTCAGCCCTCGATGTCAACACAAAGTCAGGAAGAACCCTCGCGGAAGTCGGGCTGGACTGGACCTGACGATTCGCCGGCCTTTCCGATGCGAAAGAAGGAGATACCTTCTCCAGCACTGACCGATGAGCTGCTCGTCCAGTCCAGAAAGTTGATCACCCAGTCCTGACAGGCTCTGCTGCAAAGTTGTGCACCCGAGCTGAGCCCATACGCAGACACCTCGGAGAGCCGCTGGGTGCCGGACGATCGTCACGATAGCGAGATCTAGTGACAGCCAGCCCGTGCAGTAGTTCCATGCGATCTTCTGCAAGTCCTTCTCAATAACGCCTGTTGGTACACAGCACGAACTCGGGCAACTTAAGCTGCTAGGGTCTTGATGCAAAGAGAGGGTGGGCCTTGGTCTTGGATAGCAAAGCCAACCAGGAATGACAGCGGGATGTCGAAGGTCCTGCATCGCGTGGCCACTCTGCGGCTTGAAACTTGATGATATTTGATAGAAACTGCTGGCCAGCACTGCACTTGCAGAATGAGGCGAGGGCCAGTAAATGGAGGACAACACGCCGGTCGCCACGGTGAATTGTGAGTCTGTTGGGTCGAAGACTTGCATGGGCAGCCAGATGAGATCATAAATGATGAGCAGTAGCCCAAAGACCTCAAATCAGGCACCGACGTTTCTCTTTCAGCCTCTAAACGGCTCTGAAAGACGGCAGTTCGCGCAGGACGAGACAAGACAAGGCAAGCGGCTTCCCACGTAATCCGTCGTGGAGAGCTGGGGTCTGAGACAAAGCCCGAGAGAAGCGCATGCATAAATCGCATGCATCGTCTGCAGCTGCTCGTTCCCTTCTTCTCTGGGCTTGTGCAATCGCCATCCATCGGGTTTCCCTGAACAGGTTGCAAGACTTTGCACGATTGACACGGCAAAGCACGTCTGAAAGCCGATCCTCCGCATCTTTCATCCCCTCTTTTGCAGATCCTCAGCAGCCCGTGGAAGCTCAAGAGCTATGTGTACGCTGAGACGCGCGCTACCGCTACAGCAGCTCAGTGCAGACTTGCGTCTAACGTTGACCCGGGCAGCCAGTCCCTGAGTGGACTTGCTCCTCGGTTCACAAGGTCTCTTTTGGAAGTGCACGCAGCCCAAAATAAATCAGCTGAACCCTGCATTTCAGTCAAGCCGCCAGACAGGCAGCAGCTTAACTTCCTCACCAAAGGCTCACATATTCACGGTATGGCATGTAGAAGACCCCTCGCCGCCCCGACGCGCCTCACCGGTGAACCCACCCAGGCCGACGGTAGCGCCTAAAAACGAACCGCTCTGCAGTGCCGTCGTAAACCACTCCACAGATGCCCTGCCTCTGCGCGCTCTGCCCTGCTGAGGGCTCTGTTGAGCCCCGTTGGAGGACCGTGGGGTGAAGGGCGGGGTTTGACCGCCGCCCATTGACGGGGCTCCGAAGGAGGGCTTTTTCGGGTCGGGAGTTTTCGGGGCTGGAACTCCGGGAACCAGCATGGCACTGTTCCTGCGTCCCCTGGACGCAGCCTGTGCCCCTGCAGGGGCAGGTGCCACCTTTCTGCTAGAACCTCAGCAGCCAGTGGAGCATCTCTGGAGTCTCTGCCTTTCAAGTTGCTGGCAGGGAGCTCGATGCTCTTGGCGCACTTGGGCTTGACGGCACCATCCCGAACAGCATGCCCGATCCAGATGCCCTAGGGCTTGGCGTCGTGCCCACTTCGCCATCCTGCAAATACCCCGTGTACTTCGGACACAGCCGACCATACTGGGTTTAGGCCGACTTGTGCACTATGTCACAGATCTCTCAATCTCTCTCTCTGCCGTTGCATCCAGAGGTCTAGCAGCGCAGCAACGCATGAAGCTCAGCCCTTCAGGCCCCTCAAGACGTCGCAGATCATGGTTCGGAATTGCCAAGGACTTGCACGATTCTGGGAAGGAGCGGCACCACAAGCAACGAGGCAACGAGGATGGGTCGCTGCACGGCTGAACGGGCTCTCCTGCTCTGAAAAATTCCGCAAAGACAGCCGCATCGGCGACCCCCCAGAAGCCAACGAGCTCTGACTCATTCGGGGCTGCTTCACCACTCCACCGGATCCTGAAGAATCACGGTAAGGACTCGAGGTGCCAACTGCGCTCAGCCAAGCACAACTTCACATCGTCCTTTGGATGCCGATTTCACGTGAACCAGCCTCAGCAACGCAAGTAGTGAACTGCCGTGCATCTGACAAATGGGCAGACCTGCGGATGGCTGCGGCGACAATCTTTTTCAGAGTCGCCGCAGCTCTGGCCTCGGATGGCCTTTCACGATTTTTGGCCGGGGTCTTGGGCCGCAGACCAGGCCCCAGCAGGCTTGCTTGCTTGACCCGATTGACCCGTTTCTGTTGCTGCGACTTGCTGCTTCTGCTGCTTACTTCTTGCGGGCTTAGGCGACTTTGTAGCTGGTGGACGAGGAGTCGGTTGCGAATCACAGGCAACACTCTGAAAATGAGAGCTGAGCGATGGGAGACCCAAGCACGACGAGATGGATCGAAGTCGATGGTAAACCACACAACAAACAAAACTTGATGTTGCTGCCGCAGAAACCCTGTGTCCAGGTCTTCAACGTCGGATAACTCTGAGTTTTCTTTTCTGACCTCGTTCTTTGCGGAGCCAGCTGCTTGCCGAAGCTCCTTCAGCGTTGCACTCGTTTTGCCTCGCTGAATGGGTCACCAGGAGTGTCCTCGATTTTTCTCTGGAGCTTCGACTTTTCCTGTCATTTGCAGTCACTAGCAGATGGTCTCGCAGAAACATCCTGTAAATCCGACACGAACTCATCACTTTCATGACAGATCTTTCGGCTGGACAGATGCTGGCTGCTATCCGGTATCGCGGGCGCCTCCTCTTGCCCTTCCTTAAAATTCCACGCAATGAGCGACAACTCGCAAAGCAGTGTGCTATACTTCAGCACACATGAGGTTGTAATGCTTGGCTGCAAAACTGATCCCAAATAGACTTCGGAGCAGAGTGTCTATGGAAGATAACTCACATGACTCTGCCGGTCTTGGGTCGATGGGTCCTATCTTGGAGTCTAGGCGGTCAGCTTTGAAATTAAGTTTTTTTGTCGAGCTGCCTTGGCATTTGCCACCTCTCGATCGTGTGCAGCTGCCAGTCTTAACAGGAGGTCCTCGAAGCTGAGAGTCTCAGCATTTGCCATGGCAAGGCGTCTACGAGTCCTTGACCCGGCTATAACTGGACCGTAGAATTGCTGTTTTTCTTCGTGCGGTATCTCCCAAGCTGCAAAGGAGATGGTGTACTCAGTGTGTACGGCTGGCTACATCCGTCGCACTTACACATGTGCACGCGGTCGACACAAGGTGCCGGGTCTGACGCTGCCCGCCAGACGCAGAGGCTTGGGCCAAGAAGCTTGAAGCATACGGACGCATGCAGTACAGTTGATCTGCTCTGGCGCAGTCTGGCAGGGGCTCCACTTCCAAATTCTGACCAGACCGGAATCGGAGAATCGAAAATCCGAGGAGCTACGGCCATGCAGGGAGTGCAAGCACGTTGCAGCTCCCTACCCGAGCCGGGCATCAGCGCAAGGTTTGGAGAACACGATGCCTCACGGCAGAGCATGTCTTTGGACCACGTAGGCTGATCCTGATTACTTGTAGCCAGACAGGAATTGTAGTATGACGTTGTGAGAGACTTTCTTGTGGCAGGTCGCACAAACACAGCGACCACAGATGCGACAGTGGTGCCGGGGCCGCAATCGACCTCAGCGATGTCTCCCCGAGCTTGCAATACTCACTGTAGAAGCTCTCCAATACAGGCTGGGCCCGTCACGTCGTCCCAACAATGCACTACAAATCGAGCAGTTCTCTGCATCGTCATCCCAACCTTAGATTGTCCGATGGCTTCACTGTTCAAAAGGCAGGGGATTCTCAGTACTCGGTAGTGCCCGGAAACGGTCGCGAGCACCAGCATCAAAGTCCTCCGTGTAGCTGGCGTGCAAAGCTTCTGGCTCCAGCTGTGGGGGCGAACTGGCCTCAGTCTGCAGCCCGAAATCAATCCAACCCTGGTCTTTCTGGTACCCCAGGTTGGAAATAGCGACGTCGCATGTCTGCTCCCAGTGCCACAAAGCAGCTACAGAGCCAAATCGCCTTGCAGGCACAGGGATTTCTACATCAGCGATCATGATCTGATTCCGGGCGGGGGGGGATTTTATCTTACAAGCAGCTTGACCACTGCCCCCCTGATGATAGGCTGTTCGGACAAGGCCTCGCAAGCTCATGATTCTCTTCCCCTTGCGCCAGCAATGCCGCCAAGTCAGCGCACTGGTCCTGAGAATGCCAAGTTGGATGTGAATCTGGGTCCGGAGAACTGGCATGACATCTCTCATCACGGGTCGTCCGCCACTGAGCGCGTGCGCACCACCGAAATCCCAACAGATTCAAATTTTCCGTTTTGCTTGCCGACATTTAGCCGCTCCGCCAGCCTGCACCAGTAGTCCACCTGGACACCACAAGAGGACCCCTGGTGAGCACCCAGCTCAGCACGAGCCCCCAGACAACAGGCGGGATTCAGGAGAACGGCTCAGATGGCTCAGCACTGGATTTAGGAGGACGGCCAAAATTATTCCCAAGTACTAGCGGGATTCAATTTCTTCGACGAATGTGGCCACGGCCTCGACACTGGGAGTTAATCTGGCTATACCGGGTCTAACAAGCCGCGCGCACGACGCGTACGGCGCACTAACCAATAATCCCTCCTCTGAACCGAATAGGGTGCACACGTGCTGGCGAAACGTTTTATGTAAGGGTTTCTTCGAGCACATCATTGGCCGAACAATGAACCCCGGTCCTTTCAGTATCTACAAACAACGCATCATGTCTGAACCTGCAGCTGGGCATCAAGCTCCATTGCATGCATAAACAACTTCTTGTCGCCTTTAAAATCTGAATAGAACTACAAGGCATCAAGGCCCCAAAAAGGGGCCGGAAGTTGCCAGAGCCAGAGCTGGCTGCGGACGAAACGGCTATTGAATCCTTGGCCACGGTCTGAAGCGAGAGAGTCTGATGCCTCATGTGGGGAGTTGTCAAAATTGTTTTCCCTTTTGGGGTACCCTAAAAAATAGGTGCCGTATTATAATCTGACCCAAAAATGGACCATAATTTTGACAACCCATGTGCAGACTCCGTCGCCTTCCCGCTGGTGCAGAGCACATGTACTGCAACCCGTCCATGGTCCCACCTGTCCAGGTTGGGTCCCCGCGTGCGCTCGCTTGCCCGTGAACACTCCGAGTCACGAGGGGGAACTCAGGGCAGCACTCCCATAGCGATGGAGGCATGGCCCAAGTTACCGAAGCACAACTCAACGAAGCATCGGACTGTGCCATTAATTTTCGTAAGAATCGGCAACTGTCCCACTAGCTGTATCCATGAATGGCGACTGTCCCGTCAGACTACCTACGAGGCCTGAGCACTGCAAAACCCTTCCGCAGTGGTCAGGTACCGGCCACGAAAGTCTTCGAAGCCTGGTCCAGCCGCCCGCTGCAGGGACGCGGCCCGGTTTCACTAAATTTTGACATGCAAAGTTGCTGAACCCCTGCTCGGTATTCCGGTAGTATTTCCAGCACGTGCGACTCGCACACTCGCAAAAGGCACTTTGAGATCGCAATGCAAGTGCACCAAAGTCTGACATGCAAACTTGCTGAACCCCTGCTCAGTTTCCTGTGCTTTTGACAGCACCTTGACAGACAGGAACGCATCCCTATCGCACCAAATTGTGACATGCAAAGTTGTTGAATCCCTGTTCGGATTTTCTGCGGTACTTGCAGCAGGGACGCAAACAGATTGCACCAAAAGTTTACATGCAAACTTGCTGGATCCCTGCTCGGTTAAAGAGGAGTCCAGGAATGAGTACCGGTAATTTAGTTAATTTGGGGGTTTCCGAAAATAGGGGACCCTAATATAGTACCCTAAATAATAGGATCCTTATTATAAGGATCCCAAAATAAGGTACCCCTTATTTTCGGAAACTCCCATTTGAATCCGGAAGAACGGGGAGGGGCACCCGCCGAACGTCCCCTCCGGAGGGAATAATTTCAGCAATCATTCTCCGGGCGGTGCCTCCCTAGTTAAGTTATGTAGATTCGGGAGGGGGGCGGGACGGGGCGGGTGCAAGTTTTGTTTTGTTGATCATTGAATTTTGTACTTGGCGCGGGGACTTGAATATGAATAAACAGCTTACCGGATCTATAACAGGAAGGAGAGGGGGTGTCCTGCGGTGCCCGTTTAATATTATGCTTTCTGAATTCCTGGCACCGAATTAAGTGTGCTAAATAACTTACAATATTTTCATGCGGGGGGCGGGGCCCAAACCACAGGGTTTGGGGGGGGAAAAGGGCCAGCCAGTGCTTCTGGATCAGATCCGAGGCAATGCCACAGGGAAAGGGCAACAACCGCAAGTGGAAAGGGGAACACCACCACCTCTTGGTGCAATAACAACAACAATCCATACCTCTGTAGAACACACTGCCCCCTAGAAACTAATTATTCAACAGCTATGGGGCCTAGGGCTAGGCTGAGTGGGTGGCACGCACAGCCTGCCCCAACCAACCGGGAACGCCACCGACACTACCTCACGGCAGAGGCGGGTGGAGACAAAGAAACCGAAAGACCAAGAACCGAAGCAAAAACACACGCCCCATACCATCGGGTGGGGACAGCAGCCTCGCATCATATCGACACGCCTTTTTCGCAACTCCGCCAAACTCGCCGACGATGCTTGATGTTCGGCACTAGCACCACAGCGCATGGCGGCTGAGCATGGGAACGCGTAACACCGCGGAAGCAGCCGAGCTTGCCTGAGTTTCTGTGTCAGACCTATGCCTCGGCAACGCGCGAAAGATCTGAAAGGACAGCACTGCTCCTCTTCGGATGAAACTGGACCCATCTTCAAGACTAAATCGTGAGAGAAACTGATTTCATCCGATTCTTCAGTGCAAAAGCATCTCAAACGTAACGATGCTGAAATGCGCAAGGCACAAAGCGGCTGTAATCTCGTTGCTGCATGGGTGAACCACACGAAACTGATCCTGCTCACCCCAAGCTTGGCGTGCGCTGGCTACTCAGGCGCAAGGCTTCCTTAAGGCTCGAGATCTCGACATGCCAAGGTCACCACAAATTGCTTGAACTGGGGCTTTGAAGAGCCAACTGCAGGATTCCTTAGACCGACCGCGCAACTTCTCTCTAATTCGCACAAACGGCGGATGCAACAAGTCCAGGAGGATGGAGTTTCGCCGCTGCACCTCCAGGCGAAGGCATATCAACCATTAAGCCGTGCTTTTCGGGGTGCAGTAAGTCAGTAAGCTCATCAAGAAGTCTTGGGTGTCGAAAGACATGGACGGAGCTCCTCACTTCGCATGCTTCGCCCGTCGATTTCTTCGGCGGCGCGCACTTGGAGCTTGCACTTCGTCGAATTCAGTCGTGCTTGCAAACCATTTGCAGGTCCATTCAGCTAGTGGGCACAAGCCCGGGAATCCTCGAACGAAAACTGCTCTTGACGAGTGATACGAAGGCACTGGCCGGGTTCGCAAAACGCACAAGTCCTGGACCTTTCATACAATAGCCCATTCATTCAGATCCGGCGCAGCGACCAATCTACGGCCGCATCCACTTATGAACAGGATAGCCGCGGCTATGGATCCGCTTAAGAGAGCAAGCAATGCAGACTCGATGACTTGATGCCTGCACTGGCCTGTACAAAACAAATCACTAGCACTTCTCTCCTTGGGAGAGCTTGCCTTCGACGTGTGTACATTAACTGATGCAGCGATGGAACACACCCCCACATGATGCGGATGGGTACTGCGGGTGCAGCCTGTAGCACACGGCAACGGAACGCCACTTCACGGTCGCTACTCACCAAGCTGCCCAGGAAGATGAGCTCCTGCCTTCCAAGCATGTCTTCTCTGCTCCAAGTCTTCATAACGGCAGCAGTACAGATGTGTGGCCTACAGACACCGGAACCCTCGGAAGCGTGCAGTTGGGCCCAAGGTCCGTATTTCAACCTGCCACGTCCTGCCTTCGGCACCACCAACCGAGGCACAGGGACCCCGAGTGCCGGAGGCTCGAAGCTGCTGGCGGTTTCTCGCAACCTCGGACGTGATGGCTGCAAAAGCCCAATAAGAGCAAGTCCAGGAGCCTTAGCCTCCGACAGCTCCAAGCTGTCGTTGGACACCTGCTTACTCATCTTCGGACTTTTTTCTGCATCGCCGCCGATGCTCTCAACCTCCATTGCATCCTGCGACCACAGGCCGTCACTCACAGGCTCCCAGCGCGAGCTCCACTCGGTCCCCAGTCCCCGGTCCGGGTCCTGCTGGTCAGATCTGTCAGGATCTCCACTTGCATCTCGGCTGCATAGTCGGCTGCCTGCGCCGCCTGCGCTGAGACCTTCTGAATTCAGATCTTGATGCCCCTTTTTTGGAACAACGTGGCCCTTGTGGCCAAGAGCTTCGAGCACTTGCCCAAGCCTTGGTGCATTGACAGGGCTACATTCTTGCCCTATAGCAGCCCCCGGAATGCAGAAAGGGACGATCAGGCAGGAGGCATCTGCATGCTCTGCTCTATCAACTTTTTGTGATCCTTAATCGCATGCCTCGGCTGAAAGAGCAGGTTGCCTGCAAGACCCCCAGGGCATCACTTTGCAGATAGGCTTCTCTACTTTTCCAAGGCGTCTCGAGATTCCAGCAACCTCTGTCTCAGACATTCTGACACACACACACAGAGAAACAGACAAAAAACATGGTGCAGAGAATGGATTTGCTCCCAACGTCGGACAGTCTGGGGCCCTCGCGCCGACTTGCATGGTCTTCATATCCTCAGCCAGATGTGATGCTATCGAGGAACCATCAACAGGAATCTTGTTGGACGTCCAAGTTCCAGACCAGCTGGGTCGGAGGCCCCTTAACTCTCAGCACGCCTGACAACACTGGTACCAAGAGTTAGGGGCTGAGAAAGCAATTTCCAGTGAAACTAGCATGCTCCATCGTGTTCGCAACGCCACAGTGCAGTTCAGCTGCCTTGGGCGAAGATTGGGAAGCTGATGGAGCCATTTCCCTGCGGCAAAGCACAGGTCTGCACACGAAACTCGGGAACACGTCGTCTGCCGAGCGTGCATGCTCTTGGTACTACTGCCGGATAGAGATGGAAATCAAAACCATCGTCAGAGATGACGAAGGCTCAGAGGACACAACAACCCGTCGCCGCCACCGAAAACTTTTCGCTCAATGGACAGGAGCGCTCTCACGAGCCTACACTGACTGCATAGCTCGTTGTAGCGATGCATCAACATGGAGCGATCAGCATCCTTCACACGAACTGTGACGGATGTTGACCCATATGACAACTCGTTAGACTTAGTGACTTCGTGTTTGTGCTGGCGATGTTCAACGCCGCCCTTGGTGAGACATCGACAT